CTCATATTTCTCTGCCAGTACTACTATTTGCATGGTTTTCTCTCTTAGCCCGTTTGTACTCGCGATTCCTCTGTAAATAAGTTTCTCTTTGAACTGGAGTCATTTGCAAGTATCTATTGCGATCACAAAAACGCTTACGATGTACATGATTTTTGATACATCTCTTTGTTCAACAAAATAATTATCTAGTGCTGAAAAATTAGTAACCAAAAGATATGTCATATACAAAGTAAATATAAATCTTAATCAATCTTCAGGAACATGATTTGAGTCCAAAGATGTAGAACCTTGTTTCGCTTCTGATGCCGTCGTTGAATTAACCACCGGGACATTCGTAATATTTTTAAAAGGAGTCCGTGCTTCCAACTGTATGCATCGTTATCTATAGTTATCTGCATTCATATGATGAGCATACATAATTGTTTGCATCCTTCATGGGATTAACCCTGTTTATACTCTTCTTTTTTTATACATCTGAGGAGACCACAAAGGTATTTATATTGTCTGCTCAGAACAGGAAACCACATGATTACAGATTGTGTACCTCTATGTTATGGGAAAACTTATGTACCTGGGACTGATGAAGGAGAAGCAAATGGGCTGGTATTTGCAACAGAATGCCGACACAGAGTCATGCGGGCCGGCGACGTCGATCGTTCGAAGTTGCCAACTCAAATCCGCAGGACAAGTTTGAACAACACATTAGGTTATTAGATAAATTAAATCTAAGAGCATGAATTTCGCAAATTTAATGCTTTGACTGACAATATATACTCTCGTGTAGACATACAAAGTCATGGGACATGTAGTGACTGAACTGTAGTTCAGTTCAGCTCTGATGAAATTATGGAGCTGCAGTTTTTTAGTCTCTAATATCATCAATAACTAAAGAGAATATACCCCACAAAAGAAAAAGATAACAGTTACGACATTATTATTCCATATAACATTTCATTTATCACCTGTGGGGATCATATGTAAATTTATCAAATGAGTATAACTTCTGAACATATCAAAACATTATATAAGGAATCAAGAACCAGCTAACAAGAATACAAAAGTATGACTATGACCATTCCACTCATACATCCGATTATGGTATGCAGCTTCACAACCGCACATTAATCCTTTGCCTTCCACATGTCTCTATCTCTTCATAACAGTTTGGGCAAATACACAAACACCTTGTGTGCACAAAAATGCATATCCTCCACAATGGACAGAAAATGACATCATTTCGTGTTGATTTGCAACATGGAGAGAATAGATAGTTCTTTGCAAGAAACATCAACTTGCACTTCCGCTCAAGAAAATCGGAAAATCAGAATCAAGGGAAAAAGATAAATAGTATACAGCAGACTCACCTGTAGGTTACGGCACTTCCGCTCCTCCCAACCTAGATCCAACGGGTTGCAAGCACACAAAAGTACTCCAAGAAGATGGAACAAAATCGCAGTAGACAGCAGGTGGAGGTGGCGGTGGGGTGTGGAGGGGGATGGAGAAGCTGATGTTTGGCGCGCTGGCTCGTGTTGTTTCCCAAGATGGGTTTCGCGCGCGAGGTGGCTTTGATTTTTCCAAACAGATGGAGTCACGTGAGGAGCATCACGAACATCCGAGAAAACTCCACACAGGTGGGAAGAGGTGGGTGAATCCAGCAAACATGGACCGTCATATTTGGTATACTTGCGTGTGATGGAGGGTGGATGTTGATACAAAGGAAGAAATCGACGGCTGTAATTGATTTCATCTCCCTTTGGCGGGAAAGACTTAGCCGAGGGGGTAAATCCAAATTTAAAACTGGTACACTATAAGGGTAGAGAAAAACTCTGAAACCGACTAGGACACACCCTCATTCGGTTATTTACAATTTGCACTAGTGGCCCAAATTAACACGTACAAATCCTCCTAGACCTAAAGGAAAATTATAAAATATTCCAATCATGTCACTAATCATACAAGATAATGCACAAGCTCAAGTTCTAACCATGTCACGTAGATATACTCTTGTATCTACAAGGAAATAATAAAATGCTCCGGCCACGTCGCTATCACTCTGAATAATAACCCAGTACTAAGTACACTTTTTTTAGCATCAGTACAAACACAAGCGTTTATATACACGCGCATACACTCATTCCTATGAACGCACACACGCACACCCTATCCCTATGAGCACCTCTGAGAGACTGAACCGGCGTATCATCTTGAGATTTACGAAGTCACCGTAGGCGCCTCGTCGTCGACGGAAACGTCTCCTCCCACTGAAAGCGCATCGCCGGAAATCCTGAAATAAATCCAGAAATATATATGCGCTTATATACACGCGCATACACTCATCCCTATGAACGCACACACGCACACCCTATCCCTATGAGCACCTCCGAGAGACTGAACCGGCGTATCATCTTGAGATTTACGAAGTCACCGTAGGCGCCTTGTCGTCGACGGGAACGTCTCCTCCCACTGAAAGCGCATCGCCGGAAATCCTGAAATAAATCCAGAAATAATGCGAGCACCAGGATTTGAACCCTGATGGGTTGAGGATACCACTGTCCACCTAACCAACTCAACCACAAGTTGATTCGCACTAAGCACACTTCTTCATCTAGTCCATGCAAACTCCATACTTCACCTTAGCATACAAGATTGGTAGACGTCCATGGCAGCAGTATGCTAGTTCAATGCATCCCTGAAATCTGATCAACCTTATGTACATAGCTGCAATATTGAAACTATGCATCAACTGATTAGTTGGATCAATGATAAAATTAATTTGGCCCATACTAACTAGCCAAATTACATCGTCAACAGTGGCATGCATGCTTTCATGTTCTTTTTGCCGTGTTACTTTATAAAACTGCCATTCTCTGGATAAAAGGTTTTACATGGATAAGCCCCAAAAAACTAAAATTGTCATGCCATTAAAAAATGGCATCCTATTTATAGTAAAAAATGCCATCCCATTATTGATAAAAATGCCATCCTCTCAATAATTGAAATGCCATCCTATTATTGATAAAACCGTCATGCGATTGTAACAAAACTGCCATGCCATTTGAAAGAAAGACATGTCTCATTAATAAAAAAATGACATCCTCTTAAAGAAATGCCATGCTACAGAAAATAAAATCGCCATGTTCTTTTTGAGACAAAATAAAACTGCCATCTGAGAAATGAAAAAAAATTCAGGATTGAAAATATATATGTGGCATTTTAAACACAGAAGAGTCATGAAGGCTCTCTCAGCCACTAGTGAGCGCCCGAGCACACACATTTTGGAGAGAGAAAAATCAGGCGTTCGTTAGAAGGCTCTGCCCTGAGATTCGTGCTACGGCGGGGACAACGTTCGCTAGGGTTAGGGTTAGCCCCTGGCGAACGGTCGCTCAATAACATGTTCAAAAAAAAAACTATCTCTTCCCCTTTGGAGACGGCGCCAACTGCCGCCTCCCGCCACCGCGCTGCCGCCTCCGCATCACAGGATCGTTCTTCCTCCGATTTTTTCTCAGATCGAGCAAGACAGAGAAACCTGGGGTAGGGAGAGATGGCGCCGCGGGGCTGCACACGGGGAAGGCGCTCGAAGGGATGAGATCCTGCGCTGGGGAGAGAGCGGAGCAGGGAGGGGGCATGCGTTCGTCGCCGCCGTGGGCATGCTGGCCGCTGCTGCTGGAGGGGATGACGGCGGGCGTCAATTCGTGGCAGAGCAGAGAGGGAGAAGCAGGGTTCGACGCCGGCGTGGGCTTGTTGGCGGCCGCTGCTCGAGGGGAAGACCGTGGTCGGGTCGTGTGGAGGAAGAGAGAGAGCCGACAGGCTTCAGCTGAGATGAGTGAGATTACTATTTCCTTCTGTTGGAGATAGATTGAGAGAGGGAGACTTCAGGTGAGAGAGAAGGGTGCTGATTAGTGTAGTCTGTGATTGAGAGAATGCTTGCTGCTGCTGCTCTGCTTAATGCACATTTAGGTACAGAACAGAGAGAATGCTTGCTAGAATTTTGTTGTTTGTTATTGCAGACTGCTGTGATGGAAAATCATTGTTATTTTAATCTTTTGCAAAATGATCTCAGATTGAAGATTTGCGCTGGACTGAAGAACAATGCAGAAATCTCGAAGGTCCTGAAGAAACTACCCCTCCTGTGATGTTGGGGACGTAGCTGTTTGGTTTC